ATAATTTAAGTCTCTATACTCCGCATTACAGCCTGTTTTTTAATTTAAGTAACGAAACAAAGTGATATTTTCGTTCGGGTAAAAAGCATCGGCCCCATTACCCAATACAAGTGGTCCACGGAATTAGTCTAATTTAAACCATTAGTTTATTACTGAACAGCAGCTTGGCTGAAAATTTTAGAAGATCTTGTGTAAAATGTCGGCTATTACCTGACACGCCTGTCTTTTATGATGATTAGAAGAATAGGAACGAGCATTTTGTACAGATCTGCGAAGTTCGCGCATATTAGTTTGCTTCATGCTGACATTTTGTAGCTAAACAACCCTTCTCCTCTTATTCGCTGTCTGTACAATGGATTGGTAGCAGGCAGCATGTAACACCAACCTCTGAAACCAATTAATGTCAGATACATTACACAATAGAAATACGATGCTGAGTATGTTCTCACAGGATAGGCTTTGGAGGGTGGGGAGCGCGGACACAATTTGTGTTCCTATCTTCCAGGCGAATATGCTACCGTCTCGATTTAATTAACCCTGCAATCGGCACTCTGCTCTTTCCGCCTTGAAACAGCAATGGCCGGCAGTCACGTGTTTGGCAGGCTTATTGCTAATCTGTCAATTTCTCTCTTTTGCCATTGGATCCGCCACAAGTTTGCCGGAATGTGTTACGACCGCTACAAGTTCGCGACTCTATTCTGAAATGCTTGGAGTTCAAATGAAGAGCTGACATCTGTGGTGCATTTTTTTCTAGTGCTGGGGCATTCTACGTCACACGCGGGCGGCGTGATGGCACATAAAACAACAAATCTACGACAGAGCTTTCTTTATGCAAGTTGAAAGTTACGTAATGCAAGTGCGCCGCGCGAAATGCCGTGCTTTGGAACTAAATATAGCATTCATGTCCGCCATAAATGTTAGGGAACGGAACAAAATGTTCTACAAAATGTGTACTGGCTGTCGGAATTGAGTTTTGTCAGCAAATCGCAGGTTATCTTCGAATTCCGTATGATGTTACTTATTAATATCGTTGGAATTCGAATGATGGATTATATTTACGCACCTAAATATTTATAACCTTTTAGATTCTGTGAATAGATCTTCTTATTCACATATGCAGTATTTTCCAAAAAGATTTACACACACGTTGATTGAATAAAATAAATACATTTTAATAAAATAATCCAATTGGCAGTTTGTGAATTGGCGGATCTAGTGTAGGTGTTCAAAATGGCCCTTCCGTGTCGTCCGAAATACAACACTCGGGGATAAATAACAAGGTTAATATTCCGTGTTATTATATGTATACAGCTTTATGGGTCGTTATGTATAAATGCAAGTGCGCTTAGCGTTGTGTTCTACTAGAGTAAATTATAACGTGAAATGAATTTCTGGGATTGATCCCGAAACGAAGAACGTTTATTTAACATTTATTTACTTGATATTCGAATCGGAATATGTAAAGCATTGTAAGCCGAGTTAATGTACATTAAATATTTAGTCTGTATTTAAGTGTCATCTATAACTTGAGCGTATGCAAAAAAGAAGGGTGGTGTGGCAGCAAGACTGGTAGTGTAATAAGTGTGATCATAAAATCCTGTACCCACACTAAACCCAAGTACAATTTCTTCGTATTTATAACAGGGATTCTAAATATTTTATTTACTTTTTAAGGAGAGATTGGTTCCTACGTCGTATTTAAATACCTTTCAATTATCCGGCGTATAAAGACCTATAGGGAAAATTTTAGAATATTTATCCATTCATACCGGCCCAAAAATTAAAAGGATAATGATTATGCCACCTTTGCATCTTAGGTGCGATTTTCGACAGTCACATATTATCCGCATTCTGTAACCATTCTCGTTGTTCGTAGCAGATAAAATATTAATCTGAAGCACATCCAAATCTGTGACATGATACATCTGTTTATTTTCTTGAAAGTTCTTGTCACTCTTGAGTGAATGACAGCAGTTTACCTACGCCTGTGCCATTACGTATTCTGCACTGTCACATGCTGTTTATTATAGTAGGCAGAACTGTCTCTTCACATATCCTGGCTGAAAATTGTGTTTCTTCGTTGTTTCCTCCAGGTGAGTTTCGGAATAACATCTTCCTTCAGTACGCCTTCTTGATGTTCTATTTTCATTCGACGCTCGTTCGAATGCGTCATTAATGTTTGGAGGGTCAGATAGTTTTCACAGTGAGGTTATTTAACTTCTATATATTATACCCTTTAATACTGACAGCAGTTGATATTTTTCATCAGGCAGAGTGCCAATTATAATAGGTTTAATTATAAAATATTTGAAACATTCGTTTGTATTAGCATGCAGGATTTTAATGTTATTGGCTAATATGGTTCACTGTGATTATCTCCACGTTTTACTTGTAAATACATATAGCCTATAGTTTGATTTGCTGTTAAAAGCTTTGGGAATTCATACTTAAAAAAGCATTGCATAGTATTCGAATCACTTTATAACGTGACTTCAATAAATATTTTCAGTGATTTCACCTTTAATAGATTGATTTGCTATTATACATACATACACACACGCACACAACATTTAGAGTACTGTATTTTACCATTACTCAGCTCCGTGGATGTTAGCACCTGCGTTATCTGACCACTACTAATAATTAGCAAGCTGTTGCATATTTTTAAAATTCGAATAGAATATTCTGATTTAAATAGCTGTAACCAAAAAGATGTATAGACATTTTACAGTCCATTGACGTGGGATATTTATGCTTTATGTGATGGTTATTCATTCTATTTCACGCCCTTTCTCGTTTGCATTATAAATTACAAATTTAATTTTGTACACTAATTAGAGTTCAGGCTCCTTACGTGGAAATACACTTCGTTTCTCGGCAGTACAACTGTTTCCAACTAACGTGTTCAAACGCCGACTTCTGGTCTTCTGTGACAGTACAGAAATACAAAGGCTTTTTGTGGTGTTCTGCTGACAAAATTATGGTCAAATTTATACCGTGTGACGTAGTCGGTTGCATTTGTGGTTAGCAATTTCTGTTTCTCCAGTTACACCCTACGTTTCTGAATTAACCAGTTTGGATTAATGAAGGATCCACGATTTTAAAAATATAGAATAAATGTATAATTTGTACTCTCCACGAAAAATTGTAAGATTGGTAAGATGAGTAACATGTATAACAAGAAATAATATATAGCGGCGCGATTAGACTGTCTCAAATAAGTCTTATTCCATTCTTTATTTTCTGAATTTTTGGATGCTTAATGGCTCCAGGTTCAATGCTTGTGTTGTAAAGCGTCTGATGAGAGTCGAAATAGATAACAGCTGAGGAGCGAGGAGCTTGTAATGAGAGGATAGCGGTTCCTTTTGGTTTGGTTTTTCTGCCATTCGTATATGTAGACCCAGAAATTTATATAAAGTCTGGAATCCAGTCGGAAACGCGTTTTATACATTTTGGACTCATTATCGCCTTACTATTGCAATTGAAATAGAAATGAGTGGGCGTTATTGTGGATGGATGGATCGAAATTTCGCACGCATGAGAGGTGATAATGCACACAAACTGCTTACCGCAAAGTCTTAAGGGAAGTGAGAGACTGAATTATGTAGGCACAGATTGTAATATAACATTAGAATGGATTTAAAACACATAGGGCAGGAGGGAGCTGATTGGATTTATCTGGCTCAAGTTAGGGTCCAGTGGCTGGCTCTTGTGAACACGGGACTGAACGTTATGGTTAATAACGATCGAGAAATATCTCGATAACGATTCTACTCCAAGGAGATGTTGCATTGAAGTTCACCTGATGCTCTTCTGTATAGCTCAATGGTTGGGCTCGCCTCACGGTGTTAAGGCTATTTATTGGCTGTGTATGCAGCGCTAAGTCACCTGTATAAAGTGATTTATCGTTCTTGTTTCTAGGCACAGCAAATAAGTTACTTTCGACGATACGCTACAAACACTTCAGTAATTAACACTGTTTAGAAAGTAGTTGATGCACATATTTAATTTCAGCACAACACTATTTTCTGTAACGAAATTAATTTCCGCAACACTGAAAGTTTATAGGCGCTAAAGCATTTGATGCATGGCGCTTCACTCGCAACAATCTTTGCTCTAAATGAAACAACTCCCGATCCTCTCCATACTGCATAATTATTTTCTGTGTTAATCGGCTAGAATATGTAAAGTGGGGTTGAAGTAATCTTATTCATGTCATTATTTATTATTGTTACACGTAATATTTTGTTACTAGTTTGGCAAAGAACTTTTTGGCCTAGAATTAAAATGAAACACAGAATAAAGACGCCTTCGTCTCAAAAATTATGGTTACGAATACTTGCTTGTGAATGAACTTTAGGATGGGACATATAATGCCACCCGCAAAATTTCACCAGAAGAAATTTTGTGTTTAAGTTATACAAAGCTTTGTTTAGAATTTTAAATTTTATGAATATATTTATTCGTTCCTCTGTAATATTCACACTTCACAGTGTACGATATATTACCAAATACAAACATGAAATATCGGAGTCTGAGGCTTTAAAATCTATGCCGTTTCCCTGATTTAGTAGTACCTTGTTTGTCTGTATTTGTTTTGCAAGTTTTGTTTCTTGTAACTTGCTGACTTGATGCAATTGAATTATTATTACAAATATATTCAGCAGCAAGTTGCTTTTGTGCAATATCTTTCTCTACACTCATGCTATTTCTTGATATTCTGTTTGTTGTTATTTTGATATATCTGTTATTTCTGTTCTTCTCTTGCGCTGTATCTGTAACTGGCCATCTAGCTGTTGATGCAGCACACTAAAAATAAAGAATTGCACTGAAATTTTTGTAGTTACGCAGACGCATGTGTCTGGCGGTTAAAGAATTCTAAAAGTGCGCTATTTTAATCTGGTAACTTCAGAAGTGCGAACTTGTTATACAAGCTTGACTTTCTTATATTGATTAACAAGTACCTCTAAGCTAAACTGTCTGTTTTATGCCTTTTGCAGGTATGCTTGAAGACGGTTGGCACACACTCTGCTCACCGATGGCATTCACAGACGATGCAGTGAAGAGGAAGGAGCCTATAAATATATGCGTATCATTAAATGATTTATGTGCAGTTTAAAGACAAGACAAAGATCTTTTTGGCGTTTTACTGCAACTCTTCATGATTCTGGTGGAATGTACGATTCTGTTAAAATAATGACTTAATGATTGAACATTTGTGCCTAATAGTTTTGTGACGCGTTGGTCAAAAGCAGGAGTTAAAAAGTGTTTCAGAACGGTTCTACAACATTATTTGCAAAACATCGAATCCGTGTTACTACAAAATGAGGTCGATGAAACGGAAAGTGTCTCGGTCTAACATCATTAGCGATATTCAGTTGTTAGTGTTGTTAATGGTATACAATTGTCTTGGTGTGATAATCTTCGGTGAAGAAGGTATTTTTGAGAAAGTACCGGTGTACTGGGGGTAGTGACGCTAGTATGTGGCGGATGTTGGTACGCGTGTACCTGTTCGTTAGCTGTTGTTCCGATGTTATAGTGGTTATGTCTCGCCAGCATCAGCCGAAACACAACTCAGCGAAGTGTGGCGGTGACATCAGCAGTGACAAAGGAGTGATACAAACGCCCGGGTTTCCTGGTCCATTTCCAGTCCCAATCAGATGCCAGTGGGTTATAGACGCGTCTGATCGTGTGCCTCCAAATAACTACTCCATCGTCATTTATCTAACACAGCTTTATGTAACAACAGGCTTAACGTTCACAGAATTTGCATTTTTTGAAAAAGGAGCTACTCCAATGGGAAAGCAACTTGTACACACTGTGACAGAACAGAATGTAACTCTGGTACACTGGCTGTGGACGCGCAGCCCCTATCTCGTCATAGACTTCACACTGGACCGTCTAGAGGGAAACCACCTGCGAGTAATGGATAATCTGCTGGATGTGTATGGCTTCAACATAACGTACGAGATCAGCGGCAGGGACAACCCTGTGCGTCCTAATTCTTGCAACGCCATCCTCTGCTCCTTCCTGGGCAACTGCTACGCCAACAGGGACTTCGCGTAAGTACTCCTCACATTCTGAAACAATCTCTGGACTTGTAGCTTCAAATTGTGAATTAGGAAGTATTATTGAAAATACTGAAAATAAGATATTAAATGTGTTTTTCAAACGACATCCGGAGGATGCGGTGTTCTCACGGAGGTAAGTACTGTCTACTACTGGGCTGTAGCGCCGTGTAGTCTTGTGAAAGTATAGTAACATTGCAGAAGTTGCTACAAAGCCGTACAGTCTAGAATGCAGGCAGGCATGTTCGCAAAAAGAAATTTATACACTGTATGCACTATTGTTATTATTTACGGAAGGAAATTGTTAATTACAACACAATTTCATGATGAAACCTGAACTGAGGCTACGGAATATGACTGCGTAAATTTTACCGAATTCTGCTACCTCATTTCATATTCAAAGAAAGGAAGACAACCAGAGAATTGGTGATGCACTAATGCCTCTGGTGGTCCACGATGTAATTTTGGTTGAACCACCACGTTGACACAAAGTAAGCAAAGGTTATACACCTGCCGGTTTTTAAGCAAAATGTAAGATTATTAAACCTGACGTATAAAAGTTATTAATTTCGCTTTAAGAAAGATACTTGGCTCCTAAGTGCTTTTTAAACTTTTCAGACGTCTAGTTGTGAACTAGAGACGATTTGTCATCCACAGACAGCAAGGCAGCAAGCTCTTCACAGCAACAGTATTAGGATTTTTGTCTGCTTTACCATATCCCCCGTCTACTAACTCCTTAATCAAAGTGTCGAATATTCTGAAGCTCACTTGAAAGATCTTGACCTCAGTCTAAAGCCATAAGTTTAAAATCCCTGACGTTCACAAAACGGATCATGGCAGCCGTTGGAACTTGACAGGAAGACAGGCCTTGCGCTCAGAAACTTTGTATAATTTCACAGCTATCAAAAACACACGTTTCTACTTTATGAAGAATTTTATACTTAAATTGATCTAGTAGGCCTTCGTTACTTTTGTAGTTGAATGGATGACTGTAACAACACAGAGCATGCGTGAAGTGTAGAATTTCTCGCACGTAAGCACACTTAAATGCGAATTAAGAATACATATCATCTGTTCTTTATGTTTTCTCGATTTAAATGTTTGACAGTTAATAAGAATACGTTTTTATCGTAATTTGCGTGTGGTTAGAAGCCAGTGCAGAGACTTTCCGAGCCGTCCTCTTATACGATTAACCAGTATTCAGAAAGAATGGGTTATTCAGTCTCTTCTGCGTAAATCTACACTCGGAAAAGCGTAACACGTGTCACCTGTTCCTCTACTCAATTTTCCCCCCAAAAGTCCAAGTGTATCTGTAAGAACAAGTGTTAGAAGTGTAAGGGTTTTGTAAAGTCTCTGTGCACACATGCTCTATGTTGCGCACGTGACTTGCATGTGTGTGCGCGCGTGTCTCTACACTCATATTTGAATGGCTTCCAGTACTTTTTCTTCAAGATGCACTGGAACTTTGGACTCACTCTGTAGTTTTAACGTTTAAAATGGATGTTTTCTTACGGGAAGAAACAAGCTCTATCAGAAAATACAAGAATGGTGTTTTAATACTGTGTCTCTACAGGGCATTTTGTAAATATAATAGTTTATGCCTTCATGTAAATTTTTGGAATACTAAGTCAAAGATACTGAGAGTAGCAGAATGGATATAAGGCTCGTAGACCAGAAAATACATAGTAGAATTATAAATTTATGACCAAGTGCTTCGGTTGGTTAAATGATTATTAATAAGTAATTAATCGATTACAATTAATAAGCGATTTACGTTTCTTAAAAAGAGAGACAATATGCTTAAAACATTCTCTACATGTCCATTAGTCATCTGTTACGTAAGGATATTCTTTAACATTGTGAACTGCAGTGACAGGTTAAATTCAGCTTTCTTTGTCACGAAGGTAAAATATAGTATTATTTTGTCTGTCTCCAATTTATCGTACGTTTGCCAACTTCCTGTAGACTGACGTGTTAAAATTGCCTTCGGATAAAGTTCATCATCAGTCATTTGATTCACATCATCTGTCTCCACCTCTCTCCTTTCTTATTATGACCTCATCCACATCAGAATTTTTAGTTTCCTGGTTTTTAATTGGCTTTTTACAAAGACATTTAAACTTAGTAACTACCATTTACATGTAGACAGGCTTTTGCGACTTGGTGTCTACATCATTTCGAGTTCAAAGAATGTAAACTATTTGGTTTCTAAATACTTCTGTTCTTCCAGACATGTTTGTATGTTTATAGATATGATTTTACATATGTTTTTCTACAAAGTGGTTGTGTTACATTCCAATTCCATTTAGTAGATCTTGTCTGCCCGGTCATAATGAAGAAAATGAAAAGTGAGACAGAGCTGAAAACAAAATTAAAAATTTATTGTCTGAACATGGTTATTATTGTAACATGAGGTAAAAATTTATTGGAATACCGGTTGCGCATCACTGACTTAGAGAATCATTGGGCAGTGTCTCTCACACGAAGTATAATTGCTATTTGACCCATATATCCGCTTGGCATGAGCCCATGATGGTGTGGTTTCTATGCAAAGGTCAGTAACACATGCCACAGTGTTATCTGTTTAGACCGAACTATGTTGTGTTCGTGTTTGTCATTATATCTCAACCAGATACAAAGGGAGATCCGTTTGAAATGATATCCTACATATTTTTTTCCATTCTCACGCCACTACTTAACCCCTCACTCTACTTTGTTGGAAAACAGGAAAGATTTGATTCCGTTTGATGTCTTTGAACGATTGTTCGCTGTCCCACATAGCCTCCGGCTTAGTACCCATCATACAGAGGAGATGTTTTCAGTTACTGTGATCTGTTACCAAAGGCTGCGTTTTGGACGAGGGTTTGGGCTCATCGAAAGCAAAATCTGACCCACGTAGAGATTTTTTATAGACATCAGATTTCAACTTGTCAATTGTCCACCGTGTGTTATGGAATGTTTGACACAAACTGCGAAATAATGACGTGTCGATATACTGGATAATGTTATGGAAATTGAACAAAATAGAAGTTGTATTTAACAGGCAGTAATTTGCTTCGTTTTATAACTTATTAATCAAACCCCAGATCTAATGTATATTTTGATTGCTCCACATTTGTATAGAACAGCTAGTTCAAGAAAGGCAAATTCTAAAAACACTGAACTTTCCAATTTCGATCATGGATGGAAAATGCTTTGTGTGTCTGTAATATCTGCATGGAGGGGAAGGTCTGGCAGTAAGTATCAACAGCTTATTTTCAACCGAAAGATCAAGTATATCATCTCGTTAGCTTGTACAGAAGACAACGATGAAAGCTCGTTTCTGTTCTGGCCAAACATGGGTTGCGTTGAGTGCTTAGGTGTAAACTATGCTTGTTTTTTTTTTAATAAGAACCAAAATTGTATTCTATTATTTCACTTGAATTTGTCACATACGCTGAATTGACGGACTAGTAATATTTTCTAAGATGCTTTCTGCTTTTTAGCGTCATGTAATGTCGTAGAAGTTTACCAACGCTTCAGAGGTCTGTGCTGAATCCATTATTAAGGCGCTACAATTTACAAGACAGCCATCTTCGTACTCACCGCTGTGAGAACGTCAAATCCTACTAAGCAAGAATTATTTACTGTTGTGAGATATTATTTTCATTATAACTAACTAACTAACTAACTAACTAACTAAGTAAGTAACTAACTAACTATATGGCTTACCGAACCCAAAGGTTCATCTCCGAATTAAACAAAGCCCTCCACCGGACCCTGTCCTGGGTCAACAAAATCCAGTCTCCTTCAACTCTTATCTCCCATAGATCCCGCCTGAGATTATCTTCCCATCTACGTCTAGGTCTCCCCAGCGGTCTCTTCCTCTCAGGCTTCCCAACCAATACCTGGTGCACACCTCTTGTCCCATCCATGCGCGCTACATACCCCGCCCATCTCATTCTTCTAGACTTAATCACCCTGACAATACTGGGGGAGGAGTACAGATTATACCATGTTTAAATAATCAACTCTGATTTCATAAGTAACGTTTTCTGTGAATTTTTGTTGCTTAATTAATATATAAAATCGTTATCAAAACATTTACAAAACAATTGACGAGTGAATTTCTAAATATAACACGTACAAATCATTTCATTTTTGTTCGGTTCGTACGATCCATTTTGTATCTTGTTGGTGATGTCGAATAGGTTCGATCTGTGCCAGATATCTGTATTCAAGAATTTATTTGCCTGCGCGTAGGCTCCTTTAAGCATCGGAACACCTGTCACGAATATCCAAGCGTCGTATCTGTCTGACGATTCTCAGTCGTCGTGGCATTTTAGCGCCGTCAGTAGTAACTTCCGGAACCGTGCCCGTTTGACGCAATTGTCTTAGCTTTAATCTTCCGTGACACACTTTGATTAATGGTGTACAATTACTTAGAAAGCATTGTGTTCAGAAGGTGCACTCTCGTTAGGTTTGTTTCCTTTAAGTCTCCGTTCCTGTTTTCGAGAAAATGAAGAAGGAAATTCAAGTCGCAAAGTCGCAACAGAAAGAGACAAGTCCAATGTGAAGTAGAAATGTCACAGGAAGATGAATGTTTGGTGACTGTTGGGGTATCCTCAGGAATTGTAATGTGCCAGATGCAGCCACGTTGGTAATGTTCTGAACATTGTGACCCACTTGCCGAAATAGTTAATATGCTACGTAAAAATGTCTGTCTCCAATTAAATATGTGGTGATAAATGTGTCTTCTGAAAAGATGCTTTCGTCGTCTTGGTGTTATGATAATATGCAGAAAGCAGTGCGTGGCTTGCGAGAATTCTGTATGTCCAGTATATCATATTGTATTTCATAATAATTACCATGCTGAAATAATAATTTACTCTGCACTAAGCTATTTTGTTCCACGATGAGTAAATATGTGTTAGATTTAATTTAAATTGGGCTGATAACATACGCGTATTAGTTTTTGTGTTTAAAATTGGTGTTAAAACGAGAAGAATACTCAGATTTCTTTCTGTTCATGAAACAGACCGTAACGCTGATTCGTTGAAATGTACAGTTATTTTCTATTTACTTACATGCAATACTTGTAGCAAATGTGAATTTGGTTTTAAGTTATTTGGAGAAGTATGTAGAGATAGTGCACTGCCTTTCTGTGGTTTAAAAAAGGAAGCAATCGGGGCTTTTGAAAACACGATGTTGACGCTTCGAGTTCCAAGAAAGACGGGACATTTCTTAACTATCTGAGCGAGGATTAGCGTCTCAAGAAGGACCCTACTCCATGAAATCAGTTGATTCATTGTCCTGTATTGCATGGGTGGTAACAACTTAATGCTCCGTACTTACGATCAGACGACTGAGCTTCTGTTTTCCGCAGAAATTCTCACTCCGTTGACGTCCAAACAAGCAATGTGCAGACTGTCATGGCTTTGGACACACATTACCGCTTGTTCGTTGTTTGAGTGCAAGAAAGTAGTGGTATCCCGCTACGCGCCAGGCGTTTGTGGGGACGAGTAGAGCTCTTCCTTCTCCTTCTGGACCTTCGCACGTGTCGGCCGAGCTTTGTCCTCCTGGAAATAATCCCTAGTACCCACTGGATAACGGCTAGGTGTGCCTAAGCGCCTGGAAGGGGGAACTATCCTTTGTCCCCACCGGAGATCGAATCCCCGTCGTGCAGTCCATAGTTAGACCCCACATTGATTCAACAAACACGGTCCCCTGCACTTGGGTGCTTGCTGATACGAGGTGCGATCGGAAGGTTTCAAGACTGCGCGTATAAAAACCCGTACACTTATCTCAGGTATTGAATCTCAAGCAAGCATTTGGGGAGTCCGCAAACTTTTGTGTGGCATTCACGTTTTAAAAATGGCTGAACCTCTGTCGATGATGACGAGCGTTCTGGACGACCATCTTCGAGCACAACGCCCGAAAATGTTACGAAGATTCGGCAGGCCATTCACGAAGATCGACGTCGTACCATCGACGACTTGTGCGACATTGTTGGGATAGGCTATGGGACCTGTCAGCTGATTCTAAAGGCAGAACTCCACATGCGACGCATCCTGTCTGAGGACCAGAAGCAGAATCGACTTCTCGTTTGTCAGGAGCTCAAAGATCTTGCAAGAACCGACCCCAACTTCCTTTCTAAGGTTTCCTCTTCTCAAAGATGAAAATTCAGCTAAAGGGAATGAGATTTGAGACGATAGAAGAGATTCAGGGAGAATCGCAGATGGTGCTTGACAGGCTGACAAAGAAAGATTTCCAGGGATGCTTCCAGGCTTGGCAGCGGCGCTGGGATCGTTGTGTTCACTCCCAGGGGAACTACTTCGAGGGTGATGGATGAATTTAATACCTGAGATAAGTGTACGGGTTTTTATACGAGTAGTCTGGAAACTTTCCGATCGCACCTCGTATGTTGAGGGCTGATCAACATTCTAACCCAACGTTGTGGTCTAGTAGTTTCCACTCTTGCATCACATCCGGAAGGTCCCGAGTCCGGACACAGGCTGTGCCGACTGAGTTCTTTTCGTGATTTTCCTTAGTCCCTCTAGGCAAATGCCAGGATAGAGCCTTAAAGTAGGTCACGACCGCTTCCTTCCACATCTTTTCCGATTGATTATTCGTTATCATCCTGTTATTCCATGTTAAATAATCTGAGGTCCTTGAAGCGTCGTGAAATAAACTACAAATAAGCTCATATTAAACGGGAATCATAGCAAAAGCGAGAAGAATGGTTACAACCTTACTCTCCATATTTTGGTACAAGTTTGTTGTTTGTGGATGCGTATTTATCCCGATGTACGCTGAAACCACGTATCTTGATAACGTCATTTAAAGCGACAACACTTAGGGACAAATAAAGTTTACCTCACAGACTGAAATTTATAAAGATATTTTTCGGATGTTACAATGTTAACATGGTTACTTAAAGCTGAGTAGTATTTGAATAGGAAAACATAATCTCACACAGTCATACATATAAATACAGCAATAAAGAATGGGTAAGCGTTAATATATGATAGAAGTTGCCGTCCAAAATGTTTCTTAAGTTAACATTAAGAGCTTAAAGTAAAGAAGTACTAGATTTATGGCGGTTGTTTGGAGAAAGTGGATGGAACAGGTTTTTTAAGAGAGGCTTCCTCTGATTCTTGGTCGGGAACGACAATTAATTAAATCTCGGAGCTCATAGTGTTTTATTTATGCAGTAAAGAGCCTGTGCTTTTCTATAGATTAGTCTTTGTCTAAGCTGAGTTCAAACTAAACACGCCGCTGCACAAGCGCTCAAGTCTCCTGGTGTGATATCAAGACGTGCACCATTCAAAATGAGTCAGGGTGAAATGTTGGAGCCAGCGCGTAAACAGAGGGCGTATCGAAGAATGAAAACCGCGTATACATGAAAAATTGCAAACCAAAGACGTGCATCGGGGTATAACTGCACAATTTAATAGTGGTCAAGTGTGTGTTTATCAAATGCATTTGATTTTGTTACAGGCGCTTCTGGTGCTCGTGTTTTGAGGGATTTTCCGGGCCAAATTGCGGGAAAGGTCCCGGCTGCGAGCGAGGAAGGCAGATTTGTCAAAATGGAGCGTCATGCTGGTAAGATTACACTTTAACTCAGTCATCCAATAAGAGCCCACACGAACTCAGGTTTGTAACTAAAGGAGTTTGATTTCACAAGTTACTCATTCTCTATCGTTGTCTGCCATTACGTATCGAGAGTGATCATATTTTTTGATAGAAGCTCTCTTTGTTTGGCTGCCGATAACCTAGATTAGGAATATCGTTTCGGCTCTATTATCCTATTGATGGCTATTGACAATACAGGCATACCTCGCTTTATTGGGCTTCGCAGATATTGCGTTTTTTACGAATTGAAGGTTTGTGGCAACTCTGCGTCGAGCAAGTTTATCGGCGCCATTTTTCCAACTGCATGTGCTCACTTCGTGTCTCTGTGTCACATTTTGGTAATTCTCGCAATGTTCTCGCATTGTTTCTTTTAGACATAATGCTATTGCACACTTAATAGACTGCAGTATAGTGTAAATATAACTTTTATATGCACCGGGAAACCAAAACATTCGTGTGACTCGGTTTATTGCGGTGGTCTGGAACCGAACCCGCAATATCTCCGAGGTATGCCTGTACTCAAAATTACATTAAACTCCTGGCTATTTAAAAAGTGTGATGTGAAATATTTGCATGTGATACCCCCATATATACAGTTAGCTTTGACAGAAGTGTATAAAATTGACCAGGATCTATCAAATTTATTTTCGTCACAAAATGTTTCTTTGCGTGTTTGTACTTTTTGGCAGGGTGGTATCGGAACCATAGACGTATTGGTTTTAAATTCTACTTATTTATTTTGTTGAATACAGTCCGGACAGAAGTTCGTGCAGTTTTGTTCACGTGAACACAGGCAGGACTGATGACATGGATCTCTGTGGATTAGCTTCAGCCTCCATGATGTCAGCGTTCTGTCTGAGTCCTGTCAGACGCACAAATACGGGCGATGACTAATAGACTTGTATCACATGAAGCTTATGGTATATTTTTATTTTTGTTTTCCTTAATTGGGTCGGAAAGTTATATGGGATGATAATATTTTGTTGTACGCATCTTCAGATGTTAGTATTGTGTTGTGAAACTATACAAATTCTATAAAAAAAACTTGAGACAAATTCCTGCGTTTATAGTGCACTATAGTACTGAATTATGTTATGTTACTGCTGTCGTTGCAAAAGGGAGATATCATATAGTTCGTGAGTGGAGGACGAACGTGCTTTATAGCGAGCATATATTTACTGAGATGCAGGATCGGTATAAATATTTATGTTAGGACAAAATTGGGGGAAGAATTTTATTGCAGTTACAGTTTTCTTACAAGACTCCTGATTCCTCTCCTGAGCAGTAATCTTGTTCGGAAATGGTTGACGTGAGCTCAAATCGGTAAGTTGTGTAAGGTCAACATTCCTCAGTAT